AAGTTTTTTCCAAATGTAGGTCTTCCTCTGCAGGTCTTCCAATGTAAAACTCCTGTTCTCCCAGCACTTCCGGGTGGTCTCAGGTTTTCTGTCTAAGAAAACCTTGGATCCCTGGCTTCAATCAAAAAGCCCATTATTTTCAAGAAATTCTTAACTCAACTTTTAGCATATCTCATCAACTATAGGCGGAATGAAGACTTAACAATCTCTTGCAATCATGTGTAATATCTTTTTAAAATCATTTTATTGGGGGCTCGTACAACAATCATCACAATCCATCCATTGTGTCCAGCACATTTGTACATTTGTTGCCATCATCATTCTGAAAACATTTGCCTTCTACTTGAGCCCTTGGTATCAGCTCCTCATTTCATGGGTAATATTTTAATCACAATGGATTCCTTATGATATAATATCAGGTAGGAGAAATATTAAGTATCAATTATGAAACCAAATAAACCCTTGGCCTTTTTAATAGTTCTCTAACACAACAATCCTTTCTCCAAACCTGGATCCTATCTATGTATGTACATAGGACTTGGGGACTGTGGAGGATGTTCCGAGAAGACACTGGCCTCTCATTAATCTTAGTCAGCCTGTGCTCTTCTTAGCGGCAGTACATCATTCCTTACACCCACAGTAAGTAACTTACTGCCCCTACAAAGGCCTTCCTCTTTCTGTCGTCTCTCCTATTACCCAGCCTGCTGTCCCTCAGAGACTGGTCTCTCCTGATAACATGCCCAAAGCACATGAGATGAAATGCCATCATCCTCGCTTCTAACGTGCATTCTGGCTTTACTTCTTTTTTTCCTCTTTTAAATCATTTTACTGGGGGCTCGTACAGCTCTTATCACAATCCATCCAACCATCCATTGTGTCAAGCACATTTGTACACATGTTGCCATCATCATTCAAAACATTTCCTTTCTACTTGAGCCTATGGGATCAGCTCTTTTTATTTCACTCTCCCCCACCCTACCTCCTTCAGGAATCCTTGATCATTTATCATTTTTCTTCATATCTTACCCCGACCACTGCCTCCCTTCA